GACATCAGGAAGGTATTTGATGTTCCTCAGAATACAACAATTCTGACAGAAAAGATTATTGTTTTCAAATTTAAATTGTCTTTTTCCGGTTGGTGTGTTGCGATGGAGAGGGTATCCATTTTATCCGCAAGAAGAACTTATTAGATTAAGGCCACTCAAATGGGTATGTGCTGGCAATTATTGTTGGCGGAATCGATACCCAAGTACTGTCGCGCCCGCGAACAGAAGGGGAGGATCTTAGATGCAGGAGGTCTAGGGATTTCTTACAGAGTCAGCTGTATAAACAAAGTCTACCTGTGACAAATGTAGAACACAGTATAAGTTCATCCAGCATTGCCATCACTTATAATTGACAATGCAGCTAACGTCACAAGATACAGTGTTCAAGTAATCGTTCACTCGAATACTGTAATTACAGAAGTTATAAAAGTAAAACAAGAGAGCTGGTATCACCACTGATCGTAATTTCAGATTAAAAACAACCTTTTGAGATATTTATATTTTCCCATGAAAGTCCGTGATTACAATATTGTCCATTTTGTGGTTTTGTAACGTAATATCGGATTAGATTCTTTTTAGAAATTGGTTTTAATTATCTTCGCCTTCAACTGCCGGACATTAAAGAAAACAACCTTATCAGCCCTATAGGAGTATGTACAATGTATGCTCGTGAGACTAGCTAACGGTTAAAAGACATTTCATAGTGGATTTTGTATATTATATAACAGGGTTGAAGAAATCATTTTTGACATTGGGCAAAAAGAAATGCAATAAATATTGTAATACACTTTTTTCCTCGTTGTCTCCTTCATGAGAATGCATCGTTTACGTCGATAAATGGCAAAGGGCAGCGATTGCGTTATGCCTGTATCTGTAATATCAGCTTCAGCTTAGCGTTTCACTTTGATTACTTCATGCTATTTCAAGTGGAAGAATATGACAATAACAAAGTAGATACAAATCCCACTCATTTAATCCAATACGGTATAGATTACAGAAACCACTTAGCTTTGAATTAGCTTTGCCGCTTTTGATTGGTCATAATGGTTACCGGAAGTAGTCGTGCTGTTGACTAAACCCAGCGCTGTCCTATGTTGGAGTTCTATAAGTTTTGCATCTCGTAACAACACTATACCATTATGGTCTCAACAGCAGACAATACTTGTTTTAGTACAGAACATTACTAAACAATACGAAAGATAACAAAACCAAACGCAATCTGAGACTAATGAAATGAGCTCTAGTATCTTCAAGCTGCAATTGTGTCAAGACAAAGATAATACAACTATTTATCAAATTAACATTAGAGGTTTTATCAGGTCATTTCTCAGTACTATTTAAAAACATAATATGAATCTGCACATTTCTTATATTGTGCTGTGTATAATGTAGTTAGCTGTTTATTCTATCCTGTTAATCAAGGAAAGACAAGTCAAATGTACACCTCCGATGAATTTCTAGTCTGACAGTTGGTTATATAGAGTTTGTATTATCGTTCATCGTTTTTACGTCTTTGCTACAAACATGCGGATGATTCTTTTACTAAGGATCTTAAAATCCACTCTATAACTTCGCCTTGTTGTTTGACTTACATTTTTTTTAAATTCTACTTAATATTCAATGTCATTTCCAGGTCGTGTATGCGTTACTGATCTTGTATTGACAGAGACACATATATCGTGTCTTAGTTTAACTAAGCTAGCTATCTCTGTGACAATATTAACGGAAAATCCCTTAAGGCCTATACATCGCACACTGGTGCCTACATTTCTGCTACAAAGAGTGTCCGTCTTTAAATATGTATTGCATTTCGGCGAGGCTGCTATCTTTTAGTAGTGATTTTGATCTCGGCTTGCCATTTATAAGGCTTAGTTCATGAAAATCTAATGCCAAAATAGCACCTGACACCAGCAGGCGTTGAATGTACTGACGCAATGAAAAAAGGTCGTAAAAATCTAGGATGATGTTGTTATGACGTAATGAAATAAAGACCCATGGCTACTTTGTGTTTAGCTGAACTAATGGTATACATACTCGAGGTTTCTTAGAATTCTGCCGTTGTTACTTAATTGTTCTTCTGCCTGAATGCAATAGAGATCCGTGGTTGTGTTATGAATACCGTTATTGTGACGTAATGGAGATTCCTATTTCAAACAGAGTATCAAACATCATCACCCGTTTTAGCCTCTATACTCGTTTGCTTGCTATCGAATTAAAGGTAATGATACATGTACCGTACATTTATCCCATGTGTCTCTATGTCACGAGGTGGCTAAATAATAATGTGACTTCCAATGGAATCAGATGACCTTTGTTAGACCGACTTCTGCTAACGAGCTGTAAAAAAAGCTTTTAATCGGCCCCGATATAATAATTTCAATATTAGTGTCAATCTTTTACCAGGGGAATTGAACTTCGGTCGTCGGATCTGAGAAATCAGTAGCTTAAACATTTGATTAACGTGTTATTTATAATTCAGTATGTTTCTTTCTATTCGTTTCTTTTCAATTTTCTTTTGTGTCTTCAACTCGCTCACAACTTACTGGGAATATTGAACATTTACAAAATAATTAAATGTTAGAATATATCAGGAATTTGTCACTTTTACTATATTTTTTAATATCTTCTTTCAAATTGTATGATACATTAAGGTGACATGTATAGGCTGATGTCTTTACTACTAATGCAACAAATTGTGTTAACAGATAATGAAAATACTTACTGAACTTTTACCGTCAGACAAAAACTAGAACAAAGTAGCACGAAATCCCATCCAATCACGTTAGACCAACAAAGTAACGCGAGACCTGATAAAATAACTTATTCCGACATAGTAGCACCAGATCAAAACTAGTCATATTATAAGGAAGCACAAGACCCAACAAGTTCTATTATTTTGACAAAGAGGCGCCACATTCAAACCTATTACCTTTTTTTTCTGACAAAGTAGTGCGAGACCCAACCAATAACATCATTCCCGCAAAGACGCGACATCCCAGTTCCCAGCCAGTCACATTATTCCGAAAAAATAGCGCAACTCAACCAGTTTTATAACACCAACAAGGTAGCGCAACACCAAACTACTCCCATTATTCCGACAAAGTAGCGCCTCATCCTTAATAGTAATGTTATTTTTACAAAGTAGCAAATGTAACAATAGGGCAGCATAATCAGTTTGTTTATGCAATGTCTCCAGGACGTCAGCACAGAAGAAAAGAAAACGGTTACAGAAAATGTACCTTTAGTGCTTTCGATACACAGTGTGAGAAGGCCAAGGAGTTGCATACACATATGGCCTTGATTGACGCGTATTATGGGATGCCTCGGCGTAGGAATTACATTATGGTAAAGGTTGCTAATGGTACTTTAAATTCAACGTCGGATTTAAAAAAAGAATCTTCGCTCGGAATAAAACATTGCGGACGTATGTAAGACCAGGTCAGTGTCCTGTAACACATAACACATCTGGCAGTAATACCTTCTGGTTATATAGCTTTTTTTAGGTGAACGTTACGTATTGTTATGTCATTGCAACACGAATAAACACTGCAGCTGGTGGAAACATTACATGTATAGATTGCAAGCGTTATATAGACACATATCTGCCTGAAGGAAGTCTACATCAGGCAAAAATATGTGGTTGTTTCCAGAACTATACATAGAATCAAATCACCATCATATGCCGATACAAAATAAACCGAATTATGTGTTCTTGTGGTGAATTTGTTGTATTGGGGAACAAGTAGGATATGTATAAACACTTAATGATATACCAAAACATAACGATATGGAAAGTATTAAATGATACAGCATATGCGTGATGTTTAACTTAAAACTATTTTCACACATGGGATTAGATAAAAAAAAAAAAAAACGCAGAACAAAATATAAAGTGTATCAGCTAACGCTAGGCAATGCTTCAATGTAAAACACTGATCGCGATGAGTTTCACCAATATAACGTCCTTTATTGTGGTCGTTTGTATGAGTCAGATATTCGTGCCGTTATGGTATATATGGTTTATAGATGGATTATACATGATGTTTTGTCGTCTCATTTAGGATCTCATACTGGTTAAAGTGTTCATGGAACACTGAGAGAGAAGACCCCTTGCCTCGTCATTTTCAAAATTGCATCTAAAACACAAATGGCTTTTTATGATTTTGATAGTTTTTGTCTAGATAGGATATATTGCTATGATGGTATAATTCTGCTGAAGCAAAACTGTCGCTGATGTATGTTTGAGTGTTTGATTCTCTATTGTCTTTTTGTGTTGAATATTCCTATCGTGAAAAACACTCGCTGGTGTTACCGTTTTCTATTTCCTGATCGTGCTTGCAATGAAGCAAACGACGGATAACCAATATTGGGTTGCTTAAGCATTGCATGATAATGGTAACAAGGGCAGCTAAACGGATTTAATAAATCAAAACTGCTTACTGCAATTGTAAACTACGTAATTGCGCAGTATACGAGTTCATTAGTAAGGTATTAGCAAAACAGGAGTAAATTTAGCAAACATGAGTAAGTAAGTAAAACCCGAGTAAAATGTTAAATGAAAATGCTGATAGTGGTTCTTAGCATGCCTATACAGGTGTCATCATGTGATTTCATGTTAAGAAACGTAGACATTTCTGAATAGAAAATGAAGCAAGAGATTTAACAAGCTATGATCTTCAAAGTTGTAAAGAGACAATATTTCTTAAAACATATATGGTACTTATTGACATTGACGCACAGTGACGACACTAAAAAAAGTATATAGGGACGAATCGGACTGAAATAGGCGTATTTCGGCGATACGAATGTATACATGCGTTTTTGGCGGGCACTAACATATATAAACGTATAGTGAAGACACTTTCCTATCTGTATAGGGATATTGTGATTGTATTTTTACAATCGTATAGTGACGGGCTTACTTGTTTTAACACAGTACTTACCATATCGGCGTATGGCGGTTTTTACGCCGGAAATAGACGTATGATGACAATACTTACTTGTATAATTTCTCTCCGAGACACACATTTATATTGGACAAGTTATCGCAGTCGTACTTGACGTTGGAAAACAATCGCTTGTCTTCGTTAGGCAAATCCCTGAAAACTGTGGATACCAATGATATAACGTCTTGTAGAAGGTCAACAGTGTTGACCGCATCATTCATGAGCAAGGCAAGACTACCCTCCGGATAATACCGTAGCACCGTTTTATTTCGCGTGTAAGCTCGCTCCGTTATAAACCAAGCTATGTGAACATCCTTGAACAGATTAACAGATCCAACCACTTTGAATATCCTTTTGGCCATTGCAACACTCGAGTGGATAACAATAATCCGGTCTTGGTTGTTTACTGATGTGTTTAAACTACGATACATCTCTTTTTCCGTCATTTTCTTAGAAAATATTTCCTCACTAATATTCCATTTATCATCGTCTGTAATACTATGAAGTTCGTCGTAGAAACCATCGAAGAGAAAGTCATCCTCTAAGTACAGCAGAAATTCAAACCAGAAGTTGGCTTGGAAGAACTTGATGAGACCTCTGGCCATGTACCTCCAGGAGGGCTCCAGTTTAATATACATTGAGCTTGGTATCTGTGTAAAATGGAAAACAAAGCTATGTTATACACAAAATACATTCCAAAAATAAAATAACTAACATCTACAACATTTTATATTTATTTACTTGACTTTGACGTACATTAACATTTGTAAGAATTTGAGTAAAATAGACATCCGAATTTCGCATACAGTGTAGCGGGGGTACACACCGAATGTTGTTGACGGGATTTGAGACATATTCATTTTATTGATATTCAGAACTTTTTACGTAAATGTCTACAACTACCAATATATGAGTATGACATGAAAATTATCAAAACATTGACGTTAGCAAGGAGAACATACTTTATCAAATCTTCGTGTTCTAAACAGATGCATAAATATAGAAATTGACTCGATCCACCGGTCTTGCGTGGTTGTGTAATTATTGATAGCTAAGGATATGACAATGATAATGAGGCTTTGTTTCAAAAGAACCAGATAACATTAGAATGAGAGGCTTTCAGGGATATAAAGATAGAATGTCTAATCACAATGTCAGTTTTTTGTTTTTGTGTTTGCGACCGATTCCCCCTAGACAACTTGTCGCTATTTGATGTGATCTGCTGCAAAATAAAAGGAGATATTTATTGAACAGGATGTTGACATATTATCTGGATTAACGCACTCCTGATACTTGTACTAACAGACGTGTAAATGAAAACATGTTCTATTTCACAACTATAGTGATGCATTTGCATTTCCATAGTATGTATCCTGTATATACACGACAGTGCTGTAATAAATTTAGCAACAGAGGGGGGAATCATTCAGTAGCGATACATGAACTTGTGCCGACCTCGACATTACTAGAGAACACATCTATCATAGTCGTTTGTCACTCCCAGGAATCACTGGGGGATTCTGATCATATTAACCACGCGTTCAAATGTGTATTTCTTAATTTTGCCGTCTCTCTCTGGCATGTTTCTAGTTAAGGAGTCAGAATAATTTAACCATACCAGGCTAGCTTGCCAAAGCTTGTTCAATCTCTCAATTTACAATTTGAAAAAAACCCAGCCTAGCCATATTAATTGAAAATTGTCTGTAACGTTAAGAATGGAGATAAGAACTCACAACTGAGAGTTATCATTATATTGACTTATTTCAATACTTAAACAATCATCGCTTCTAAATCAGTTTTTTGAATAAGTGTGCAACAAAGGGATTTCGAACTCTTTCTCTTTTAGTTTGTGGGATTATATTGTTACAATATGTTCGTAAAATGAAAATATAAAAGAGGACGTGGACTATGAGGAGAAGGAGGAGAAAGGGACAAATTATATAAGTAAATAAATTAAAATGATGAAAATAATTATGAATTTTGCATAAACGGCTGGTGTTGGTCACATGACCCTTCTAGTGGTTCTACAGTCTTAACCAAATGACTTTCAATAACGCGTCTCTTTTTACACATCACTGACACTTTGAACGTTGGATCACAGAGAGATTTTTCATAAGGAATATACCGCTTGTCTATCAGATAAGATGTACCGATTGCATGTGTGATTCGAATTCACGGGGTGATGCTGAAGAAACCAGCGCCTGTGGGATATGTTTGCTCACAAACACAGCCAAGCATTTTCTCCAACAGCAGAAGGACCTGTTGAATTGTTTTTGCTGTTTTCCTATCGTGTTTCAAATAAATAGACAAATAAAACTCTGATCAAATACTTGATATTTGACGATATCCTCCCTCTTCCCCAAAACTCTTATTGAGTTGTTATTGGCACGTGCAGTTTGTGGATATATGTTAGGCCATTATTACGTTCGCTTGTAACACGTCTGCAATGAAGGGAAGGGCGAACAGTCTCAAGTGTCTATCGACTGTGGTCTGTCGAAGATGTGCTGGTCCTTTTATGATACATTTTCTCAATTTTTTTATATTCATATTTTTATTTTTATTTTCAAATTAAGTTCAACATCAACTGTCAAAGACTAAGATTAACATTGAGCATTGATAAAATGATGAAATTAGGAGTTTTTCTGTTTCCTTTTGTTTTCTTGAAGAAATCTATAATACATTATGTTTTTTATCAGCTCGGTTTGAAATAGTTCAATCTGGTAAAGCAATAATTCCTTTAACAGTTTTAGCATGTGTTACAATACGAACATCATGCATCTACACGCATCGCTTATTTTAAAGATATCCTTTTATGTCGAAATGTCAGCGAGCCATGGCAATAGAGATAAGGGGCATCATGTAATGATTAAAGATGACAAAATGGAATACAAGAATGATTACATTTACAATAATAAAAATAATATAATAACATAAACATCATCGGCTGTCTGTTTAGCATTCATTACTATATAGTGTTTAATGGAACATTGATATAGCAAAGGCATACGAACACAAAAGAAAAAAGAGGAAAACAATTAAAATCGAAAAGAACCTAATTTCCCAAACATAATTCACTTTTATACATCGTTGGTTTGGATATTCAATTATCTACTTTTGAATATGAATTACAATTGGTCTAGCAAAATATGTATAAATGTCATACTAAGGTATTATAATTAGAGTAATCAGTGCGTACATACATACATAAAAAAGTCAAAGATATTATATCTAATAAATTCAAATACATGATGCATTTCAGCTGTCTTAATCAACGTCTCTACAAAGTTATGCAGTATTCGGCATGCATGCAACTGTTTATTTAAGAATATCCTTATGATGCTTCTTTCCTTTCCTACCATTAATCGTGTTTTTATGTCAATATAAGTTTTAATTGTTTGACGGGTAATTACTTCAATGCATATTCTCAGCGCATTGGTAAGAAGACTGATTTTCTGTCTGCAGATCACCAATCCAATTTAACATTTTCGCTGGAATGCATTGTTCGGGAAGTCCACTCAGTATCAATCGTACGGACAGAAAATTCTATTCCCATGTGCTTCATCGCTCTTGTTCTAAAATCCATTTATCATATAGAAGAAAAATCAAGTAAATGAATTGAAAACTTTCCGTTGCTGTCTTCTGTAGACTATCAAAGAGCCATTAATCAACCCTACAATTAGTCCAATAGATATGGGTTTGCGTCAGAAGAGTCTATGAAATAACCACATATGAATGGGGCTTCCGTCCAGACGGGAGAGCCAATTTACTGGAGTGTTCGTCCAGCAAACACAAGGTGTGGCGAGCTGGGTATGTAAATCAGAGGTCCCTCTCGACAGACACATTCATGGAACATGACAAGCGAATTTTAGAGTTGATCATCATCATTTTGTCACACCCAGCTACGCCTTTCTCTAAAACGGGAAAGTAATGGTTGTCTGCAAAGAAAATTATCAGTTTTATAACATCTGTATTTCGTCCAACCCTTCTGGTACATTAATGTAATATATTCGGGATCTTCGATTGTGGTAACCTCTTTGCGATTCGAAGGTCAGAGCAATATAATTTTAAGAATTAAGATCGGTTTTTGTTTTGCTTGATATTTCCTTTTGATAACGGTTTAGTATAGTATTTTCGTGATAAGTGCAACAGGTTTCCATTATTATTGATACAGCATCTTTACTTTGGTGCATATAGAATTTGATGTGTGTCTCATCATCAGGAAATATATCTTTTCCATGACCAGATGTTCTTCAGTGGGAAGACGAACTCTATTACCGGTACCGAACAGTTCAGCCTCTCATTGGTCTGACTCAGGGTTGGGATTGGAAACTGTTGAAAGGACACGTGAAGGACTTATGATAGCTCTCATATGTTACGCGGGTATTAATGATACATTGACAGCAGGAACAGACATATCTTTGCTGTAAAATAATTGAACAAGGAGAGTCTGAGGTTTCGAAATTGCACTTCCACATTGTCATGTACACATGGGAAAACGAATGATCATATCAGGGTAAGCAAAATTACGGAATGTGGTTTTGAATCACCAGTGAATAGGAAAATACAACTGTTCTTTTTTCTTTTCGTTTTACCCTGCCGAAATGATATCCCTTTCACAATTGTGAAAAATGCAAACAAAGTGTTATCTTTAGGGTAAAAATGTACACTGGAAAAAACAATTACAAACATGAACAGCCTTCATAGTACTAATGCACCTCTACCTTTACATTTTGGCTATTCAAGGTACAGAGTTACTTCTATATACTACCAGCCTTCAGGGTAGATATGTACCATTATATAATAACAGCCCTCAGGGTATATATATACCACCATAAAAAAACAGCCTTCAGAGTATATATGTACCATTATATAATAACAGCCCTCAGGGTATCTATTTACCACCATAAAATAACAGCCTTCAGAGTATATATGTACCATTATATAATAACAGCTCTCAGGGTATCTATTTACCACCATAAAATAACAGCCTTTAGAATTGATATGTACCACTACATAATGACAGCCCTCAGGGTATATATATACCACCATAAAATAACAGCCTTCAGGGTAGATATGTACTCTTATATAATAACAGCCCTCAGGGTAATAAATATACCACCATAAAATAACAGCCTTCAGGGTAGATATGTACCATTATATAATAACAGCCCTCAGGGTAATAAATATACCACCATAAAATAACAGCCTTTAAAGTTGATATGTACCATTACATAATAACAGCCTTCATGGTAGATATGTACCATTACAAAATAACAGCCTTCATGGTAGATATGTACCACTACATAATAACAGCCTTCATGGTAGATAAATTATATACCACTACATAATAACATCTTTCATGGTAGATATGTACCACTACATTATAACAGCATTCAGAGTTGATATGTACCACTACATAATAACAACCTTCAGGGTAGATGTATACCACCATAAAATAACAGCATTCAGAGTTGATATGTACCACTACATAATAACAGCCTTCAGGGTAGATGTGTACCACTACATAATAACAGCC